CACTGTATGTGTGTCATCATTTAGTAATTCCCCACTTATTGATGACATTTAAAAACTTTTCCTTAAAGGCATATTTTCATCTTTTAATTTTATCTTATCATAAAGTGCCTATTTGTTTAAATTTTGTAAGGAATATATACTATTGTTGAAACTGTATAACTGTATGAACACCCTACAGTCCCATCCTTCAGAGACAACCATAGTCACTAGTTTAGTGCATACTTCTCCAGTTTATTTCCTAAATGCATTTTTAAATGTTTTAATAAAGTTAGCAACGTTCATTTTGCTAGCTAGCTAGGTAAAACATTTACTTGGTCCAGGATTCAAAAGGAACAAAAGGGTGTACAGTGAAAACTGGATCTCCTTCCTACCCCAAGCTGGTGCCCCACCCAGGCTCCCTCCCAGAGGTGCCGCTCTTTAAGATTCTCGTGTGTCCTTTCAGATCCGTTCTATGCCCGTACCAGCAGATACGTAGACATACTGGCAGATACATACACATCGATTACACACCTACAATGATAGCCAACTACATACACCGTTTAGCTCTTCAGGGTGTTTTTTCCCTGTATCCAATGTATTTTGAAAATCTTTCCATCTCAGTACTGGGGTTGATGGCGATAGTTTTCCTTTGCATAGATACCATCATTGATTTAACCAGTCCTCTGTTAATAGATATTTAGATTGTTTCCTTTTTTTCTTTACTGTTACAAACTGCTCTTCAGTGAATATTTGTCTGTCTTTCATTTTGCACATATGTGGGAAAATTCATAGAAGAAGAATTGCTGAGTCTAAGGGACTGATTTTGGTAGATCTTGCTAGATTGTGCTCCATAGAGGCTAGTCCTCATTATGTCTCCAGCAGCTCGTGTATGAAGGTGCCTTGCCCTAATCTCTCGTCAACACTGTGTGATCAAGCCTCTTGAACTCCGTCAACTTCATAGGGGAGAAATCAAATCTACTTGTCTAATTTGCATTTCCCTTATAAGGAATACGTCAAATATTTAAGTTATTTGCATTTTCTTCCCTGTGAACTGTCTGTTTATATCCTTTGCCCATTTTCCTATAGGCTGTTGTTTCCCTACTGATTTGTAGGACTCCTTTAGATATTTAAGGAGAGTATCCCTTTGTACGTCATACGAGTCACTCACAGTCAAGACATTTTAAACTTACTGAAGAATCACAGAATTTTGGTTGTTTTTCTTGTTTTACAGACTTCCACTTAACACTCATAATAAATGCTGTGGAAGATTCAAAGAAATTTGAGATAAGACCCATTCCCCCAAGAGTAGGGCCTGTGTGAGGCCGCACTCCCGGTACCCTACAGAATCCAGGGGTGTCCGTCAGCGGCCTGAGTGTGAGTGGGCCCCTCCCCGAAGTGCGTGAGAGCCTTCCATCTACCCGTCTGACCTGATGTAGCACTAGGCTGGTCTCAGGCGGCCTCGGTGGTGTCACTGCTTCCTAGCTCAGTTTCCCCATGGGTGTGCACAGCATCAGGTATGGACCTGCGCACCCACGGCAGAGAAGCTGATCTCTGGTGGTGGTTGTGGGTTGTTGCCACCAGCCAGGTGTAGACAAAACTCAAGGTGATATCTTTGGAATAAATGGGGAAAGGCATTGTACAATGCAATGCCAGCAGTCTTAGCCCCAAGTGGAGGGACAAACAGGCCTTGGCATCTCTGCCTTCTCTAGTTTTCTATGTCCACTGGATGCATCAGATCACCTGCCCACTCCCCCCTTCAGCAGTGTAACCTGGTCTCTCATTCAGTACATAGGGAAAGTTTGATAAGGGTGCTTAGTGGATTTATTTTGTTAATTTTTTACATGATTTTTCTTCTCAAAATTACATTTAATATACCCACATATTAAAGAATACAATGCCTATTAATAATCTTCTTTGCTTCCTAAATAACTTACCATTTTAGCTTTTTATTACATTGCCTTATTACCAGTTAAAGTAATGAGAAACAGCAATGCCTTGTTTTTATAATTTATTGTTAAATAGATCTCTGCATCATTTACTTTGATTTTACTGCTTTCGTAATGTATCTTACAGTGTGCTGTAGAATTTAGTTCTCAATGGTTTTTCTAATATTCCTTGAAATGCATATTAACATATTGATTTGAATTGAAAAATAAAGCCATGTTTTTCTGACAGAAAGTAAGTTCAGTTGGGAGGATTGCTCTGATGAGGACTGCCTTTGCCAAGTAGATTATGTGGCCAAGTTTTTATAACCTGAATAGGCTAAATCTGCAACCTAAAAATTTTGACAAAAATATATTTAAAACATTTCATTAAAAAAATCATATTGGCAAAGTTGTATTGGAATTAAAATTTCAATTTTCCCAACTTTATATATATACTTTATATATATACTCTATATATACTTCCCAATATACTTTCTAAGTATATTGAATTAAACACAGTGCCTTTAACTGAAAGAGTTAGCCTTAGGTAAGTTTTGGTAAAGCCTTTTGGTGTCTTCCAGAAACAGAAGAAAAGAATGATTGATACAAGTCAGGTTGTTTGCAATTCTGCTTTCCAGAAAATTGAGTTTTGGGCTGGAAGATGATTAAAATACTTTTTGATGATAGATCACTATTTGATTTTTGTCATATAACTCTAAAGAAAATCAAATAATTGAATGACATTATTAGAACACAATTCATTCCTATTTACCTATTTATGTGAACAGGATTTCTCAGTATTTATATAGGTAAAAACAAAAGAGAGGAATAAAATTGATGCCAAGCCTTGTCTCATTCTGGCAATATTTAATATTCACCCTTGGATAGATGAACTAATTTTAAAAACTACAGTTATATTGACATTGTAAACACTTTGTGATCAAGGAATTTGAAAACAATCAATTTCAACTTAGGGTTTATGTCTTATTTTTATATAGACTCTATTGGATACATTTAACAGAATGATGTAACAGTTTTGTTTTTATTTATTTATTTATTTATTTTATTATTATTATTTTTTTTGTGTGTGAGGAAGATCGGCCCTGGCTAACACCTGCCAATCCTCCTCTTTTTGCTGAGGAAGACTGGCCCTGGGCTAACATCCGTGCCCATCTTCCTCTACTTTATATGGGACGCCACCACAGCCTGGCTTGCCAAGCAGTGCGTCGGTGCGCGCCCGAGATCCGAACCGGCGAACCCCGGGCCACCGCAGTGGAGGGCGCGCACTTAACCTTTTCCGCCACCGGGCTGGCCCCCAGCAGTTTTATTTTTAAAAGGGAGTATTTCTAGTACCCCAGAAATTAAAATATCATTTGCAACTATTTGATTTTATGAAAACAAATTAGATGGCAACTTAAAAATGTATGTGGGGTATGTAGTTTTTAAATATTTTCAGGGCTGCAGAGCAACAGTGTCTGAGGGAGCACTGCCTTATAGGATGTGTGCATGTCCAGGAAAGCAGAACCCAAAATAAGCTCCCCCCGTCCTCTTCACCAGTTCTTGTTAAGTGCGTCCATTCATACAAACATAGGTCTGTATTATTTTTACAGCTTGGAAAATATGCTTTATCTACTGATAGATCTTCAATTTTATAATGAAGTGAACTGAAAAATAGGATTTTAAATTCAAGAGCCAACCTTTCAGATTCAGAATTTCTTCCATAAAGTAAAGTATAAATAAGCATGTTGGGGAAAATGCACCATTGTGCAGAAAACAGACCAACTAGGTCTCTTTCTAGTTACTTGAACTCCTTGGATAAAAATACAAAAGTCTGTCAGGTATATTAATCTTCTTACCACCACTGGTCTGGAAGCAATTTGAGGGCAGGAATGATTTCCTATGTTGAGCATTTAATTACAGGTGCAAAATAAATAGTTGGTGCTCAGAAAATTTTGTAACAGTAATTCTGGATGATGAATGAAGGGCTCCATTAACATGAAAAAGTATTATTATTATTATTTTTTTTTTTAAAGATTTTATTTATTTTTATTTTTTTCCCCCCAAAGCCCCAGTAGATAGTTGTGTGTCATAGCTGCACATCCTTCTAGTTGCTGTATGTGGGACGCGGCCTCAGCATGGCCGGAGAAGCAGCGCGTCGGTGCGAGCCCGGGATCCGAACCCGGGTCGCCAGCAGTGGAGCGCGCTCACTTAACCACCAAGCCACGGGGCCGGCCTGAAAAAGTATTATTGTTTTGAAAAGAAAATATTTGTACATAGTACAAAATTCAGAAAGCTCAAAGGAGATGAGAAAATAACTGGTTTTTAATGTATACAAAATTTTTGTTCCCTTTAAATTTTACCATGTGCAAGAATTACCTATTTAAAAATAAATAAGAATGGAATGTACATATTAAAATTTGATGAGTATTGGGGCTGGCCTGGTGGCATAGTGGGTAGGTTCGACACTCTGCTTCAGATCCTGGGCGTGGACCTACTCACTGCTCATCAAGCCATGCTGAGGCGCTGTCCCACATAGAGCAACTAGAAGGATATACAACTATGACATACAACTATCTACTGGGGCTTTGGGGAGAAAAAAGGAAAAAAGGAGGAAGATTGACAACAGATGTTAGCTCTGGACCAATCTTCCTCAAAAAAAAAAAATTTTGATGGGCGTTTAACTTGTCTGAGGAGGTTGTAGCAATTCATGAGCTCGCCAGCCCTGATGGTGGGTGCCTGTTTCCCCGCCCCCTAACTTTGGCCAACACTGTATTATCTTTTTTTTTTTCCCCCAAAGCCCCAGTAGATAGTTGTATGCCATAGCTGCACATCCTTCTAGTTGCTGTATGTGGGACGCGGCCTCAGCATGGCCGGAGAAGCAGTGCGTCGGTGCGCGCCTGGGATCCAAACCCCGGGCCGCCAGCAGTGGAGTGCGCGCACTTAACTGCTAAGCCACGGGCCGGCCCAACACTGTATTATCTAATCGCTTCCTAACACATCTTTTCCATCATTGAAAAAGCATCAATAGTAAAGGAGTAGTTCCCTCCTGTACTGCCCTGTTTAAATTGCATGCTACCCTCTTTTGCTTTATTCTAGGACAAACGGGCGCAGGAAACAACTGGGCGAAGGGGCACTACACGGAAGGAGCCGAGCTGGTGGACTCGGTGCTGGACGTGGTGAGGAAGGAGTGTGAGCACTGTGACTGCCTGCAGGGCTTCCAGCTCACCCACTCCTTGGGGGGAGGAACAGGGTCGGGCATGGGCACTCTGCTCATCAGCAAAATCCGAGAGGAGTATCCCGACAGGATCATGAACACCTTCAGTGTCATGCCCTCCCCCAAGGTGTCCGACACTGTGGTGGAACCCTACAACGCCACCCTGTCAGTCCACCAGCTGGTGGAGAACACAGATGAAACCTACTGCATCGACAATGAGGCCTTGTACGACATCTGCTTCCGCACCCTGAAGCTCACCACGCCAACCTATGGGGACCTAAACCACCTGGTGTCCGCCACCATGAGCGGGGTCACCACCTCTCTGCGCTTCCCGGGCCAGCTCAACGCCGACCTCCGCAAGCTCGCAGTGAACATGGTCCCTTTCCCACGCCTGCACTTCTTCATGCCCGGCTTTGCTCCCCTGACAGCCAGAGGCAGTCAGCAGTACCGGGCCCTCACGGTGCCGGAACTGACTCAGCAAATGTTCGATGCTAAGAACATGATGGCAGCCTGTGATCCCAGACATGGGCGCTACCTGACCGTGGCCACTGTCTTCCGGGGCCCCATGTCTATGAAGGAGGTGGATGAGCAGATGCTGGCCATCCAGAACAAGAACAGCAGCTACTTCGTGGAGTGGATCCCCAACAACGTCAAGGTGGCTGTGTGCGACATCCCTCCTCGGGGTCTCAAGATGGCCTCCACCTTCATTGGCAACAGCACGGCCATCCAGGAGCTGTTCAAGCGCATCTCGGAGCAGTTTTCTGCCATGTTCCGCCGGAAGGCCTTCCTGCACTGGTTTACAGGAGAGGGCATGGATGAGATGGAGTTCACAGAAGCAGAGAGCAACATGAATGACCTGGTGTCAGAATACCAGCAATATCAAGAAGCTACGGCCAATGACGGTGAAGAAGCTTTTGAAGACGATGAAGAGGAGATCAATGAATAGAGGAGCCTCCCTATCCCAGATACCACAGTGCAGACATTCTTTAACCCCAGTGCGTCTTGACCCCAAGGGCCGCCAAATGGTGTGCTGGTCTAAATATGTGGGTATAGGCCCCTCACAAATGCAACGACATCGTACTATCAGCCATCTGGAATAAAGAAAGTTCATTAAAATAGCAGAGAATTGGCAGTCCTACCCAATCTGAAGATCAGACTACAGGGATTTTCTGCTGGAGGACTTGAAAGAACTAATGGGCCATAAATAAAGAGCTAAACAAATAAACCTCCCCTTCTATTAAGTGTTCAACCATGTCTGAGAATTAGGGAAGTTAAACACATAGTGTTTTTTCATCCTTTGCGGTGAAACCTGAAGCTATGCAGTGCTGCCTTCTACTGAATATGCAATATTGAACTTTGACACAATCTATTCATAATAAAACACTGCAACTGCTCCTTTGTCTCTTACAGCCTCTGCTTACGTGATAGATTTGTGACTTTGCGTTGTTACAGTGGTTACTTGGGTCTCTCTTCTCTTCCTGGGTAGACTGCCCCTATAGTGCACCAAAAGAACTCAGAGGATAGGGCCTTGCTTGACTTGGAGGCTTTAGGGTGGTCCCATAGGCAGAATTCTGAGCGTAAAAGTAGTGCATGCGTAAGTAAAAGTCCGTTGTCCCCATTTGCAATCAGCATTCAGACCTCCCACAGAATCTTTCATCCCACTGAATCGTGTCCTGGGCTAGTGGGTCCCTAACAACTCACCCGAGATTTGCCAGAGGAGCCACAGAAAATGAACTTTGGGCTTCTCAAGCTCTTGGTGGGTGAAGGGGGACCTGACAGGGTTGGCTCTGAGAGCTGCTGTGCTTCCTTCTTTGAGCACTGAGACCGGCAGCCCGGGGCCTGTGGCTAAGCCCAGCATGGAGGATGAAGGGCTCTTTTCTGTCTCCACTTCATGGTTTCTATAACTAGCCACAACTTCTGTAAGAGGTCTTGTAAAGTCAAACTCCACAGGACATGACCAGGCTAGTTTCACTAGTAATTGGCAGACACTGCTGTTCACTAGTGTTTATTTCTCCTTCCTGCCCTCTTGAAGTCAGCTGTGAGCATGTGACTCTGCTTTAGCCAAAAGAATGTGTGGTGAGTCACTTCCAGGTGGAAGCATTTAAATGCTAGTGCTAGACCCTCTGTTCTGCCTCCCCCTTGTGGAGACCCCGATTCCTGTCAAGATGACCCAGTGTCTTCGTCAGTCTAGGTCCCTGAGTAACGGCTGAGTAGGGCCCCCTCTGACCTGTCAGACAAGGAGCGAGAGGAAACCAACCTTTGGGGTCTGGAGCCGCTGAGACCTAGGGGTACAACACAACGTAACCCAGCCCCACCTGACAGAGTGCCCGTGCTCTGTGATGTCATGGCTTACATCCAGTGACTGTATTCTGTGCTAAGGCTGAGCCTTGGGCATACAGAGAGTGAATCATTAAACACAGCAGCATGACTTAAACTGAGGTGAGAACAGACCTCATTTTTGCAGAAACCTGAACTATTTTGTGAGATGACAGTAAAAATAACTCTTAACCCTCCACATCTAAGCTGGAAGTATGCTAGGTTTAATAGACCTTGGGAGAGAGAAAGGACGAGTGCCATGAGCACCTGCTGTGGGCCAGGCTCTGTTGAGGCCCCACGGTGCTCACCACGGTGCTGCGGAGCGCAGGTGTCACCTGTGCAGATGAAGCGGCGTGCTGAGGGCTGCAGTGGCTATTGCCGGCCATAGCGGCCGGCCATCTACGGCTCCAGAGCTTGAGGGTATTTACCTCGTTAGAGTGCAGGAGATGTGGGTTACCGTCTGACCGACAGTCTCATGGACAGCTTTGTCACTTTTCTCACTGAATCTAATGCGACTCGTGTTTGGCACAACCCACTTTATTCCACCCAGGAGGCCTCAGAGCCGAGGCCTGCCAGAATAGCAGATGCTGGCACCTCTCCCTGCAGTGGAATGAGGAAGGAGTATGGAGCATCTCCTCATGGTCTACTGCTTGTGTGGAGAACAGCACTGAACACACTGATGGCCAAGAGAGTCCTACAGCCTTAATTCTTCCCTGAGCTGCCCCCCACAGGCATCCTATGAGGAAAGGAGGCAGTAAATGCGTTACTTCTGCAGGTCACTGGGCAGAGGAGCTGAGGGAGACACAAGCGTGGGTGACGAGCTGAGAGGGCTCCCATGCTCCTGGAATGCTGAGTTAGTGGAGTCCAAACAGCTGGTTCTGTGTCCCGGAGAGCTGGAGTTTGGCATCTCTGGGCCGCCTGAAAGAATGGCCACCTCCCACCCCATGGGACCAGTGCTGCCCCCCGAATGCCACCTGATTCTGTTTTAACTCTGAGAAATCACTGTTCCCACAACATACTTAACTATATCAAGAATGCACAAGGCAAGTTGGAATAACATTAAAGGCTGCTAAAAAAATATTAAAAATGCGAAAATGGTGCCTCCAAGTCCAAATAATGGCATTTGTGAAGACTTAACCATCTTTAAGCATGGTACTTCTTCCTCGTGCCATCTTTTGGTTAAAGTTTTTGACCTAAGTTTGCTACATTGCAGACTTCGGCTTTTCTGGAACCACAGAAAAGTTCTAATACTAACAATAACAGTTTGATTCAGACCATGTCCTGGGACGTCATGGGAGATCCAGGCTGCAGGGGCCCCCGTAGCTTAGTGTTAATTCCCTTCTTGGAAATCCAGGGGATGGCTTGGGACAGCCTGCCAGGCCCACTATGGTCACCTATCAACTTCCGCATGCAGACAGTATGACCAACGTCTGGTCATGACTGGCCTAGTAAGGATGTAAACTGATGCCAGTATCACAGATTCTCACCAACTGACCTGGTATCAACATACTTCATATCCAGAGTTCATCATTCCAGGACATACAAATCTAGAAGTTACTAAGCCTCTTGTGGGAGCTGTTGAGAACCAACAAAACTGAGATTTTGAAAGATTCCTCTCTAAAAAGTAAGAACATTTAATTCCTTTCCGTTATGTTTTCTAAAAGAAAGTATCCCAAGCATAAACAGTGACCCTTTGTGTGTTCAGAAGAAAAAAAGTACAGTGTTTATACTTTATTTTTGATTTAAAGAAGCCGTATTTACATAATACATTCATATTTTTAAATATGTTACAGCTCTCTGTAGAAAACCACTCCATGAAAACAGCAACATGTGATCTGGATTTAATCTTTAAAATATTAAGTCAAATGAAAATACTCTTATCAGGACTCCAATTTAATTTCACAGCTCACCTGCAGAGGGAAACTGAAGGGAAAGAGGAATAAAGAGTGGGTGATGGAAAGAACACTATACCTCTCCCACAGGGCAAGCGTTCACAGATTATCTGTCCCTGACACACGTCAGCTGGCTTCACTGATGGTGGAGGGAGCCAGTCCCCACTCTCCCAGCCACTCCGAGAGTCTGACAAGGCTGGGGAACATGTTCTCCCAGAGCCTTTGGACAGTTACCCTGCCACCCCTTCCCTGACTTCTGAGGCTGAGGATAAGGACTCCTCTTCCCACCATTTCAACTGGGTCAGCCAGCAGCTGGTTAAGATCAACTCAGCAGTGTTCTCATTCTTCTGAGAAAGCTAGAGTTGAAATAATGTGCAAATTGAAACCACAATATGACAAGCTAAAATGGCCTCCCTCCTTGGATCTGGTTGGCCATTTTCTCATCCGGGGGCTCCTCCTTCTCCTTTTCCCGCTCTTTGTTCCAGTCCTTCAGGCCCTCTGGGAGCGAGGTGTCCTCATCCAAGCTGCCGGTGCCTTCCACAAATTCCTCATAGGTGGATTTTTCTGCAAATGGTCTGGGGCCCAAAAGTTCAACCATATCATTCTTATCTAATACTTCTTTTTCTAATAATAGAAGAGCAACCTGAAATATGAACAATTGCCATTAAATACAGTTACTCAGCAAAGTCTATTCAAGGCTAATAATGTTTTTATTAATAGCCAATCTCACTCCAAAAAAGGATTTAAGATGACTGAAAAAGATATACATAAGGTCACATAATTTTAGAGTAAGATGTGCAAAATATTGGAAAAACAAATGTCCACCAGGAAGTTAGTGGTTAAATACATTTTGGTACATCCACACAATGAACGATTATGCGCCTGTAAGAATGAATCTCTGTTCTAGATGCATCTTGGAGAGCCAGTCAGTGAGAAAAGCGAGATGCACAATGTGTATAGTATGGCTGCATTTGCTTTTAAAAGGTGGCGGGGGGAAGTGTATCTTTTTATGTGCTTATAAATACATAAAGAAATTCGGGAAGGATACATAAAGTAATAAAAGTGGTGGTGGGGTGGAATTGAGGAAAAGATGGCTATGGTGAACAGAAAATAAAAAAAGTTAGTTGAAAAAAATAAAGACAAATAAGGCAGAGATACAAAAAATGAAGCCAAGAAGGTTAATATGAAAATATGCACTTTGAAGTTCTAGTCATTTCTATGGTTGAACAACAAATTGGACACTACACATTTTAACAGGTCACCAAAAAAGGGACACTTGGTCAACTATGTGTATGGAGGTGAGTGATGGAATCAGGAGGCAGAGAAGAGTGGTTACATTAGAGCATCTGACCATCACAAAGAAAATGAAGCAGGTTATATTGTAAACTGATCTCATAAAATAGATTTAGTTCCTCAGGGAACTCCCTAATTAGAAATTTAACATATCTGTAGTTTACATTAAATGCTATGTTTTTAAGGATACCAAATAATAAGATAATTTTCTTCTGTTTTTTCAATTTTTAAAAACTTTATGGACTATTTCAAATATGTAGCAAAAAAATGTAGAAAGAATGGATAACTAACCCCCATGCAGCCACTATCAATAATTATCAACTTAGAGCCATTTTTGTTTCATCTACTCCCTGGATTATTTCATTTTATTTTATTTTATTTATTTATTTATTTTTTTAAAGATTTTATTTATTTATTTTTTCCCCCCAAAGCCCCAGTAGATAGTTGTGTGTCATAGCTGCACATCCTTCTAGTTGCTGTATGTGGGACGCGGCCTCA